GGCCGAGATATCACCGCCCAATAACGCCTTGTGTGAGTCCCCAAAGGAAGAAAACGACCAGAAGGGTGCAACGGCAGAAGTCTTTTTGTGTGAGCGGCACAACGTATTTTAGGAAACAAACGCGTGTAAACGATGTCCCTTGAGCCAATCAGCTTCTCTTCTGAAATAGTGGCCGGTCCCATTGACTGTTGGCTCATTGGATGACTGCAGTTTGAATTCTGAATTATCGATCGATTGATGGCTTATGTACTTTCGCTCGTGTAGGCTGATCGATAGCCTGCTTAGAGTGCGGCTATGGCTTGCAAGCTACTGCTTGCTAAGGCTGTTCGTTAAGCCATCCTAACAATTTCAACCAACGGCTCCCCAAGCGAGAATTATTGCTTGCTAGTGTGCTAATTGCTTAATGGCCGGTGTGCATGCTGTGGCCTATTGAACCTTCATCACACGTGGTGGAATTGTTCGGCCATTTGGTTCCCCTGCATTGGCGTTAGATGAAGCGTTCGTCTGTAGGTTCCCCAATTGTCGACATGATTCGGTCAAATTGAGCCTCAGCACTGTTGATGGATTGGGCAGGCCATTGCACTTGTTTGTAGACTGCGGGCCCGTGAACCATGACACAAGTAATTCGCGACTGGCACGACTGTCATCTCTTGCGAGAATTCCGGCCTCACTAAATTTGATTGTGTGGCGGATTTGCACATCTGCTCACATCTGCTCCTTATCCATCTGTATATGCAGCTGCACTACTCGTGATAAGTGAGTAAACATGTACGTTTGCCTATTTTCCTCCGACAGACAGCTGTCCACTTTTCGTGCGTCCGACATATTATAAAGAGGAAGACGCCTTCTCCTACGCTCCTTTCCTACACCAGCTGACTGTCCAAACCTACTAACCTACTAGTGTTCAGATAGTGTACCGTGTTCGGCGGATCCAAATGTGGACATTCAGACCGACTGTGCACTTTCCATATTCAGTTGATGACCAACTCATGCAGTGCTGTAATCGAAAGTGAAATGACTGTTATAGCGTACATTTTGCTTTTCTATTTTAAAATTAGTTAGCGCACCAGGGGGCGGCTCAGAAGACCTTTTCTAAAGAACACTGCATGTTCAATCCAGTATACTGCAAGAGGACAGGCCGAATTTGAGGGAAATTGATCGATGCAAGATATTGAAGAAATCGCGTTAGCTATTTAACATCGCAGAGCAAACATATGCTTTTGCGCCTTCTCCTACAGACGAACAAAGAATCTAAGCACAAAATATGTTAAATAAACAGCTTCTGCCAGTGAAACTCGAAATTATTTTTTTAAAAGAAATTCTGACAAGTTCGCGAAAAAGCACGCAACAATAAACTTCCTTTGACTGTATTTTCTTTTACCACAAAGGGACTTGGGACGGAAAACAAAACTATATTTTGATTTGAAGCATAAGGCAGAATAATTTTCTCTGCGATATAATTAACGCCAATGCGCAATTTGGAAACGCAACGAGCAGGAGCTAACATCTTTATCGCAAAATCTTGGTATATTATCAGCCATTTTGCTGAACATGCACAATCTTAGAACGAAGGCCAAACGTAAACATATATTTTTCATATGCGCAAAAATTTGAGGTCCAGACATAATATTTCTTTCATCATCCCCGCAAAAGGAAGGAGAAAAATGTGAGATTTCTGGGACCAGGTTGTATTTAAGCTGACGTCGACAGAACAACCAGCTGTCGTCTACAGCATACCATGCCAAGACTGCAATGCAAGGTATGTTGGTGAAATGGCCAGACACTTTGGCACAAGGTAACATGAGCATCAGCTCGCAATCAACCGCAAGGATAAGCTGTCTATGGTCTATGACAACGTTCAGCAGGAGAACCACACGTTTGCCTTTGAGAAAGCAAAAGTAATAGGCTGAGCCAACGATAAACTGGCCAGATTGCTGCTAGAAAGTTGGTACTCGACTGGCACACTAAACGGAGCCATAGACCCTCATCCCGCCTACCAAGCACTCCGGAGAAGGCTAACACCTGCTGAGAATGGAGCAATAGATCGGGCGGAGGAAGATATGCAGGGCCGACAGCCGCAAGCGAAGAAGGTGGAAACGTTCAGGATGCACATACGGAAGCGCCTGCGAGGGCGCAAGCAATTCAAACAGCCACAAAAAAATCGATCGGTACAATTGGTTGACAGACGGGCATCAGGCTTCAGGCTCACGTTTGGACACACTTACTGACACCAGCTGGAGGACAGCCACCAGGCTCTGACGATGGAAGCAAGGATGCCTTTTAAACGTCAGCTTAAATACAACCTGCTCTCAGAAATCGCCCTTTTTTCTTCTTCATCTTCCGGGGACGATGAAAGGAATATATTTTTCAAAACACTGCAATATAAGCCGAAACAGAATTGCCTTATTTTCAGCAGAATATTTATCTCTTATTCTCAAAGAAATATAACGAGTAATGCTGAAACTTACGCATCTTTACCTAGATACTTAATCAGTGACAAATATCTAATGAGACAGACCTGTAAAGAGGTAGCTTATTATCAAACGGGTTTAAATTTAGTTTAAGTAGATTGATTGCTACTTCTGTTGTGCTCGTTCACTTTTCTCGGCGATGAATTTTCATTTATGGAGGAGTCTACAAGTATGATTCAAGCGGTCGCCTCCATAAGATCTAATATCCGAAAACTCAATTTGTTGTTACATACGTTTCAGGAATACTTTCTTTCGAAGATTTTGATAAATAAATCGTACGGAAATTAAAGTAATGGAAAGTTATAGAAAAACTCTTTAAAACAATTGAAATCGTGAAGCATTCGTCATAAATTCAAGGGCGATCTGAAAATAATAGCAATTTAATTGCAGAGATAGTTCCATTATTTGTCACAGTTACAGCGGTTTTTTGCGTTTTCGGAAATTGCCGCTTTTAGAAAATCGGGTATTGTGGCAGCTGTCCCAATGTCCTCACGATGCTTGCCAGGCTTGATCTAGTGGGTGCTCTAGTGTCTCCCTTTTCCCCTGCCTCCCAACGCCCGTGACAAGCTTGCTAAATAACAGACGCTCCAACAAAGCAGGACTGCCCAGAATTTACCTCAGCATAGTCAACGCCACATGTGCAGGCAGTGCATCGGCCAGCCTGCTTTGTCACCCATAGTTCTTTGAGTTCATGTTCCCCTGACTGGCCCTTTGACTTGCCCAATCCGACACCCCACACGCACTCCGGCGTTCTGACACAATCAACGGAAAACGCTTACACATAACACCTCTGCTGACAAGCTCCTAGACAGACGCTTTAATCTCTCGCAAGCAAACAGTCTATTCATGGCAACCTAGCTTGTGTACGCATAAATTGGTCCTTACATTTGACTGCCTTCTTCTGTCAGACGGAAGAATCCTACTGTAGTGATTTTAGTAGATCGCACACCTTTGACCGCTAAAATATTTCTAACTAAGGTAAATTACTTTTCACATTTTATCGAAGTTTCATACACGATTACAGTTTTTCAGAAGAAAAGTTACTAGTTCTGAATTAGGTGAGGGGAATTTTGCAACTTTAAAATTTTCTATTATTATTACTTCAAAGCGTTGGCGCATGCGTTGTTGATGGACTTCTAGTAGTATCAATCATTGCTAAATTTGGGTTATTTTATTAGTTAGGTCATCTAATGTTCAGCTTACTTGAGTTTGACATACCACAACTATGTCCTGACAGAAAGCAGGACGAGTACATTCTCCACTGAGCTACTCCGACGTCTTCCTTCGATAATCATGGACTGCAAGCTGAGGATATAATTCGGATCTAAGAACTGCAATGACGGCCTTCAAGTGTGGTTTACTTAATGAGTCCGGTGAGAAATAAACTCTTCATAGGTTTTCCACACAGAAACGGATGCACTATGCGTTTCTTCAATCAGTTCTCGTCGATTTACTGAAACCTTTTGTTTTTATTCGAGAATTCAATTTCCAAGCCGCTGAGTGTCCTGTCCTTCCGCAGTATAGGGATTTACAAGAGATGGGGCCAGTCGGTGTCAAGCAAATAACTTACACTTTAAGTTGAACGCCAGCGTCGTCCCCTTGCCCTTAGCCCTCAAACTGTAGGTGAAGAGGCCGACGGAGTTGTAAACCGCCCATATCTGGTCCCTCTTTGAGCGAAGTTCGACGGTTGCAGAAACTTCGTCAGTCAAGCTGGTCTTCCACGTGCCACTGAGGTCTCCTTTCCAAGATCCGAGTTCCAGGGTCCCCGTGTAATTTCCATCGGCAGATTTATAAGCTGCAGAATTGAAACTCAGAGTTAGCTGTTCTGATCCAGAAGAAATAAAGTGGGCTAAGAGCCTCCAAATGGGACAAATCCACTGAGGGCACAAATCTCCATGTGTGCGTTCATTTTAATTATAAGGTGTTTGGCTACTTATACGTTTTCAATAGGCGTATAATAATGCTGTTAGAAGTAGACCAGAAAACCATCGTGGAGTGTTAGGCCCCTGGGTTTGGTATTGGTACTATTGGGGATTTGCTCTGAGGAGAAGGGAGTTAGGAATATGGGATGAGGTTATTAAGGCTAACCCACTTTCACACTGTCTTAGGGTTACCTTTTTGGTTGGATTGCGTGCCATTAGGGTTAGATTAAACGGTATGCTTAATTGCAAAAAGGGTTTAGGATTAGGGGGTAGATATTGTGGTAGGATTAAGGTGCAAGTTTGTACAAGCGTTAGTTAGGTATTCAATGCTTCCATAATATTATATTTTTATTCCTAAAACTTATCAATAATTACTTATAAACGCACATTGCCGATTCATTACAGCGTCGCGGCATTAGTCGCTAACTAATTGGTAGGCATTTCAGTTTCCCGTTATTTTAGCCTTTTTCTACGAAATTTTGTTTTTAGAATTGTGCGCTGCTGCATAAACGGATTTAGCATACTTAAAGTAACTTCTTCATATTTACATTTGTGTACTATTTACCATTTTTGTCCCTAAGCATTAAACACCCATTTACAATTCTTTGCGTATTACGAGGTGCCTGGTGCCTTGGTTTGCCCGCTTCTGTTAGAACTCTGCCCATAATAGGTCTTACCTTGTAGTCGGTAGGTTTCTTTCCAAGGAGCTTTCACAAGGATATCCCACTCTGTCTTTTGATTCAGCCTTACAAGGTGTTCGACGCCCACATGCAGCAGACTGCCATTGGTGGGCACCTCGGGCTTGCCTTGGGGTCGCGAAACTGCCAGTCGCAGACTCTTTTGCGTCCCATAGATCAACTGTTTAGAGCCAGAGTAATAGCTAAATGCGAAACCATCGTTCTTGTTGATCATGAGTTCACGAGAGATGCAGGGGCCTTCCTGCGACCGACAGTTCTGCTCGTAGGTCGCTACAAGCCCGAGCAGAGTGTCAAAGAATTTCGGAGTCTGGGCGGTCGTGCGGACATATTCGCCAGCGGGGTTGACAGTCTTCTCTTTGTGATAACCAACTGCGGTAACTGTGCGACTAAAAGGAAAGGATGGGATACGAAAGATTTTTTTAAATTCCAGATATCTGCAGCATCCATCCCCCTTTCTAAAAGTTCCTTTATTGACCTACCCGTTTGCAACCTCCAGCCCTGTTTGCCTCATCTACTTTTTCTACCTACTGTTATCTTTATAGTAGTTATGCTTGATTAGATTGATTATGCTCAGGTTGGGTTATTTGGCTTCGCTGATAATCTCATCCTGCCTGCCGATTTGCAAGCAACAGAGTTCAGTGTCACCAGCTTTGGTGTAACGACTAAGTCTACAGACCTAACAACGTCAAATGTCCTGTTATAATGTTTCCTAACAGCCTATACACACGGCTGCTGGTATTCTGCCGCTGCATCCTAGAAGTCTGGGAGCTTCGACTATCAGCTCATCCAGTATGACCCCTGATATATCCTAGTTCTTAGAATGAAAGTTGAAACTTACCTTAGGTTGTTAGCAAGATTAGAATTAAATTTTCTGACCGGCCAGTTTGGCGAACAAACCCTTTCCGTTATTCATCATCAGGCGTGAGTAACAAAAGATAAAACATCCAACGAGCATTAAGTATGTGCGAGAGGATTGGGGGGTTGAGGAGCCATAGAGTGGCAGCAGCCAACAATGCTATCTTTATCCAATTTTCGCTGCCTCAACCCTATGCAACT